CTCACATTTCCTCTTCGGAAGAAAAACACATTTCATTGTCCTGGAAAGCTGTGTCAGTTAAAGATGGTATTAATTGAATGATGATGGAAATCACCTTTTTTAATGCTTTCGGCAATGCCATTGATCAGGGCCCTTTGATCCTTTAGTGTGGTCATAACATTTCAGAAAGCATTCTGATTTCAACAAGAATGACAGTTTTCACCATAGTCAAATCTCGAAACTGTCAGTTGTATTCTTTCCTTGGTGTCTTTCCCAATTTTGTTTTGAAACTCTTTTTCTGGCAAAAGAAGAAAAAGTGAAGATCTCAAAACCTTGGATTCAGAGGAGAACATTATATGGTAGCTTTGTAAAAACTCTCCAGCCACAGGAGTTTAGGTTATCAGTTCTTTGGATACAAACACCATGATAAATATACTGTTGGCAATGTTATCTAAACTATTATCTTACCAGCAGATTACCAGGAAAATTCCTTAAATTTAGACTTTTTGATCTATATTTCTTCTTCGGCACATTCTTTTCTGGTCTTGTGCAGCCAAGGCAGACCAGGCTGAAGGAATGACCCACTGGTTAGGTTGCTCAGTCAGACCTCACATGGGTCCTGCTAATCAGATTTCTTAAATGTCAGTAGGTCTCTGTTTTCCGATGTGAAATGGGGAATGCCATTTCATATTTGTGGTTGAGGATAAAAGGAGTTTTAGTGGTGAGATACCCGGACAACAGGTGATAATGGCAGGAGCCTAATGTAAACATTTGTTGGATCTCAGCAGAATGAGTCAGTCCTACAGTGCACAAACCATGCTGTTTGACTCAGCTGCAAACAGGAAAAACAGGGTGGGAATCAAACCTGTTGCATTTAGAACAGGAGTTTTGAGTACAACTGCTAAGCCACTGGTTTATGTAATAACAGCTTTGTGTTAATAATCTTTAGTCTGGAATGACTTCTTATTTGGACCATAGTTGCATTAGTGACAACACTTTTCACATAGAAAATTAAATCATTTTAATGATGCTATCTTGTCTCCTTGGTAAAATGACCCTGGATGATCTGCTGTGGCCTGGGATGATCTCGTATGGCCTGGACAATGAAACATGCTTGTGTGGAGGCTAGGAGCATTGCTGTATTACTCTAGAGGGCTGCTGTATGGCTAAAACACAACCTAAACAATTGCAAACTGTGTAGGCAGGGTTATAATGGTCAGCAGAACTTTATAGGTGTGGAACTTTAAAATTTGTGCTTTTTCACCTCCATGTTTCTGTGTTGTATATAGTCCAGTGCAACAGAGGAGCATAACCTGGGTTTGTTCATTGTCTTTCAGACAATGTCATGGTGGTGTCTTAGCTCAGAAAAGCCCTATGGGAATTTGGAAGTTCTAGGATTCCAGGTGCAAGGTCCTTCACCTGGACTGGGGTAACCACTGGTTTCAGTACAGTGGGAGATGGAAGGGGTTGAGAGCAGCCCTGGGGAGAAGGACTTGGGAGTGTTGGTTGTTGAGACGCTCAACATGACCCGGCAATGTGCAGTCACAGCCCAGAAAGCCAAAGGTATCCTGGGCTGTATCCAAAGCAGTGTGGGCAGCAGGTTGAGGAGATGATTCTACCCCTCTACTCCGCTCTGGTGAGACCCCCCCTGGAGCACTGCATCCATCTTGGGGGGCCTCAGCACAGGAAGGATATCGACCTGTTGTAGCAGGTCCAGAGGAGGGACACTTAAGTTGATCATAGGGCTGGAACACCTCTCCTATGAGGAAAGGCTGAGAGAGCTGAGGTTGTTCAGTCTGGAGAAGGCTCTGGGGAGAGCTTATTGTGATCTTTCAGTATTTAAAGGGGGCTTATAAGAAAGATAGGGACAAACTTTTTAATAGGGCTCCTTGCAGTAGGACAGACAGTAATGATTTTAAACTAAAAGAGGGTAGATTCAGACAAAACATAAGGAACAAGTTTTTTACAATGAGTGTGGCGAACCACTGGCACAGATTGCCCAGAGAGGTGATGGATGCCCCATCCCTGGCAACATTCGAGGTCAGACTGGACAGGGCTCTGAGCAGCCAGCTCTAGCTGAAGACGTCCTTGCTCATTGCAAGGGGTTTGGACTAGATGGCCTTTAAAGGTCCCTTCCAACCCAACCTGTTGTGATTCTGTGGTGATTTTGCAAGTACCATGAATTTGCTTCTGTTCAGTGTGCTCTAATGGAAAGTCAACTGTTGTGCCACCTGGTTGACCCCAAGTTACATGCTGTTGTCATGGCATTCAGCAGCCATTGAATTTGTCTATAACTGTCTGCTAATGGAGAACATTATCCTGCTTTAGGGTTGATACCATGGAAGCATTTGAGTGCTTGATCTTCAAGAAGCCATTTCCAGTGGGGACTAACCTTTTTCTCTAATATGCCTCTCTTAAATCAGAGAGGGAGAGGTCTGTCTCAGTAAGAGCATGCTAATGCACTGGATTTAGATCCTTCAAGTTTTAGATTGACATTGTGGGATATTTAATGATTTTTCTTTTATGTGTATTTTAAATTAGATTTTCTGTTTAATTGGCCTGAATCAAGCTTGTTAATATCACTGGAGGTACCACTGTTGAAGGTAGTAGATTACTGTGCTTCATGGAAAAAATTGTTAAATTGTCATTTCTAAACCTGGGTGATGCATAGGTGAAGCCTTTCTTCAGGAGAGAAACCTGTGGCCCAACAGAGCTGTGAAAAGAAAAGTGCTTTTAACTTACTTTGAAAATTCTATTCCTTGTTTTCCATTGAAAAAAACAAACCATGCTTAAATGCATTTTTCTGTCAGCTCTGAGCAAATTTATCTTTTGCATTCAGTGGAAAATAGTGCGTTATAAGGGAAACAAAGTGAAGAGTAAGGTTTTTGGTTTTGGTTTTTTTTTTTTACTTTCTAGCCAGCAAATGTGAAATCCTTTACTGGGTGGCTGAAAAGTTGTAAGGGAAAAATAAAATAAAAACCCATTTGCCAGATGCATGACAATTGAGCTGCCAAATGTGCAGAACATCCGTAATATTTTTAAAGAGAAGAGTAAACAAAGGTCACATCTTACTGGAATTGCTTTGGACAAAATTGTTGAATCTAATTTGAAATGAGCCTTTTTTTATTTCTGAGAAGAACAAATCTTAGGTTTCAATAAGTTTGTTCCATTTGCCTTTATCTGATGCCATGGTTACTTACCAAAATGAGTAAATGTTAAAAGTTTTGTCATCTGATTATTAAAAAAAAAAGAAAAAAAAAGGAAAAAAAAACCCCAAATGAACAAAAGAAAAAAGAGAGAAAAAGAAGTGGTAATCTGTAGCTGGTGTATCTGATGATCTGTGTATGTAACCATCTGTAGGTGATCTTTGTATGCTGTGTCTGCAGTGATATTCAGATTGCATTTGAGTGAAAATTTAGTAGTGACTGTTACCTTTTGACATTAAAAGATATGTTCTAAAGCTAATTTTTAAAAAAAAAAGCCTTACATATCCCAGAAGTGTACACTTAGATTATGTAAGATACACTGACAGTCCTTGTAGTCTGAGACTGGCTTCCTTAGGCTTAAATACTGGGTGCTTTATATTAAGGACAGTTGTGAGTCTGCTACAGGGGTAGGTTTTGCTCAGGATAGTAAAATACTAAAAAAATGCAGCAGTTTGTAAGCAGAGGAGCCATATGAAATAGAAGACAAGTAAGGAATGTCTGCATACAGTAGGAGACATAAAATAGCATCTTCTAACTGTTGTTCTCTACCCCAGGGTTGTTTATTGTAGGTGTTACTCCAGCTCAGTGGCTTTCTGTTACAACTTTACTATGTCAAAGGATTTGCACCCTATGGGTAAATACTGTCTCTTGAATTTTACTGTATGAATTTTTTAGGGAGTTGATTTCCTCTAAGAGCCTACATCTCGTCTCATTGTTCAATCAGATCACAGCAAATAAAGGGACATCATGTTTAATATCTTGTATCTGGCCACATGTGAAACATCTGCTTTCAAAGAACAGAGTGAATAAGTGAAAATCATCCACAAGTAGAACTAATCAACTAATCCATCTAATCCGCTCCACAAAACCAAACAGTGGCCAAAGGCAGCACAATGCATGCCCTAGCTTCTGCTCCGTTTAGACCTCAGCCCTGACAACTTCATGTGGAATTTGGAAAAAACATCCAGATTCCTTGGAATCTGTTGTGGTTGTAGCCCTTACCAAGGAATATTTGTACTCGTACATGTACATGATTGTACTGAGGTGAAACCACTCTTAAGAACCTGTAGAGGAAGCCAGAATACATTACAACTCTGGAGAAGAAAAGTGGGAGAAAGTGCCTAAATTATATAAACTTAGAAGCAGCCTCAGTTACGCTGGCTTAGAGGAATGAAGTGGTGAGAGGATACATTTGACCAGCACTGAAAGTCAGAATAACCTGAGGAGAGTCTAGGGTGGCTAACTTAAGCAGGGAGTGTAGCCATGGAGAGGTGATCTGGAAGAGTCGCGGTCAGGATGTCAGAATGTCCTGTCAGGGACTGTCTAAGGCACTGGCAGTTCCCCAGCAGCCTGCTGATATGAGAGGAGCAAAGACCCCAGCAGATTTTCACAGGAGTAAAACTGCTTTTGACTGTAGAGTCAAACCTCTGCTGGCACACTCGGATCTCTGAGACCACTATCCTCAAAGAGGACAAAATGCTGCAGAGAGCTACAGAGCAGCAGGAGGAATGCTGCAGGTGCTGTGTGGCATGGGGAGGTGTAAGGATTGTGGGCTGAGTTGTCCCTGTTTGTGATGTCATTGTTTTGGCCCTGCTGAGAATGTGACAAAAGTAAGATACTATTAATAGTCAGAACTGGAATTAAATTTTTTAAAAAAACTTGGTCTGTGACAGATGTTTGCGATATACGGGAAGATACTAAGATCTCTTACAGAGTTGGATAGGTGAAGTTAGAGTGGTGTGTATGGCACTGGAGGAGACTTAGAGGATTTTTTTGTGAAAGTTCATGTGTCTGCAACAGAAGCAGCAGAAGGGAGTAAAGGAGGTGGAGGAAGGAGATGAAGAAATGTCACAGTCAGCTACACCAACAACAGGATCTTGACCAGAAGCCTAGAGAGTGACTCAGCTGAGTTCTGGATAAGAGTCTTAGAACCACGTGTAGAAAACAGTCTTCTTGCATGACTGTGTGTGTCAGGGTACAGGATTTTTTAACTAATGTTGCCTCAGAAAGGGACCTGAGAAACAAGTGTTTCTTTTAATGGATGCAGCCTTCTGGCTTATTCAGGGCAAGAGACAACAGTGTTAATTAAAAGCAAAATTTATTTGGCACAGGAAGAAAAATAATCCAGAACACACATGTATACTAAAGGTGAATTTGGAATAGATCCTGCAAGAGGTTGTGTGTTTGTGTGTGGTTGTGAGCATCATTCATTCATATTATTTACATTTGCAGATTCTGAGCAGGTACAAGGACATCGCAAATGATAAGTATAGGGCTGGAAGTAAGAACTCATACAGAATCAGAAAGAAAAAAACATCAATTTTGACTGTGCCTTAAATCACTAAAACAGAAGCTAAAATCCACATGCATTTTACAAGCAAGGGTCTGCCACTTCAGAAGGATTTCCTCACCCAGGAGATGTTAGCAGGTAGGTTTTCTCCTTTGTCCTGTTTCTGTCCTGGCATCTGCCTGGCAAGTGTGAAAACCAGGTTTGTTCTATGAAGGACAGAAGTGTCATTACATATATGAGACCAAAGACACCAAGCATCAGAGCCCTTGACAGCATTAGTGCAGTACAGTGGACACTTGTCCATAATTGTACAACTCTGGTTCCATGGACAAACAAATAGTTCTGTCTATGGCTGATTCTTTTGCAGAACAAACAGGCTTTGCTGATGCTTCAGTTACAGGTATCTGGCTCTTTATGTATTTCTATCATGGCCCTACACATTCTGACTGAAAGCTGCCAAGTCCTAGGAATTGTCTTTGTGATTCAGTGGCTGGTCAGCATGGAGTAATCCTGACTGGAAAGGGGTAGGGAATTTGTAATTTAATGAGGATGTGAGGGAGAGGGAAAGAATGGAAGGGTGGGGGTTTTTGCCATTAAAAGCCTTAAATTTTTTAAAAAAAAATCTTCCCAGAGTAGTTTCCTAAAGCTAGGGGAGGAAAGTATATACTTCTTTCCTCTTTGTAAAGAGGAGAATTGACTTTTAGTTTCATTGAAATTTATGGGACTGGCACCAGCTAAAACATTTTAATCTCTGGGGTTTTCCTTGGTCACGTTCTTGAAATGTTGGGAAAACTCTAATTGCAATAAAGGATGGGTTTTGTCTGTCTTAGGTGCCCTTTTCACACACACCTCTTTGCTTCCACCAGAAGAGGAAAAGCAGGTGGAAAATGCAGGTCAGTCAACACTGTGGGAGAGCTCTAAGCCCTGCATCTGCGGTGGATATTAGCCACTGCATCCAAGCCTGCTCTGAGGTTTTCCTGTGCTGTTGCCACTGCCAGGAGAGCCATGCAGCATGATGGGTGCTCTTCTCTTGGCACCAAATTCAGTCACCCTTGTGCTGATGGTGGGAGTCCCAAGCCCCTAATCTCACAGCCTTTCATATTTCCCCCAAGACATTGCTGTTGGCCCCACAGAGACAGTTCACAACCTCTAAAGGTGAAGCTGTCCTTTAAGACAAACCGGTGTCCCAAGCTTTTCAAAACAAGGTGATAAAACCACATTTCCTCTTGAAACTGCCCTCAGAATGCCCCAGCTTCAGGTAGCACCACAGTTCACCAGTAGTACTACACTGGTAACACCACTGCACCAGTGGTGCCCTTGCTGCTGGGGTGTGACATGGGTGTTGCTTCAGAGGGCTGTGTTTCCATACAAAAGCTACAGTCTTCTGCAGAGATCAAAGCTGCGGAGGGTTTCTCATGTCCAAATGCGAGGAGGGTGGCATGTGTGTGGCCTTGTTCTGTCCTTGCAGAAGAAGGAGATACTATGACTTTGAACATGGTGCACCACTGACTTTCCTGCCCTAGAGCCTTAATTTTTACCTGGAAGAACCATTCCAAAGCTGTACGTGATTGGGCTTGTAAGGTGGTGTCAGGCCAAAAAATTATTAGCAAAGTGTATTTCAGATGTGTTACAGACCAGGAGCCAGGACACTGGTTGACCCTGTCAGTGATCCACAGTGGGGATAAGGTCTTTGTCTCTTGTGGCAATCCCTGGGCTCAGCTTGCATCACCTGCCTGGAGACATGGGCAATTCTGACAGCAGGAGCAGAGATTCATACAGCAGGAGGCAATTCAATAAACAGGGCGCCACATGAAAGGTGAAGGAGGATTTTGGGGAATGATTGAAGTCCAAAAGAAAGGATGTTGCTGATTAAGCAGTACAATACTCAGGTGCTTCAGCTAATGCTTCTTAGACCTTCTCAAACCACCCAGGTAATGCGAGCTGGCCTCCTGGAAGACATCTTCAATGCTGCGGTTTTTGGGAAAGTAGAGGAAAGAAGGGAATTTTAGACTTCTGGCCAGGATGGCAGGGCTGCAAAGGTAACCCTTCTGTTGTGGGTGAGCCCAAATAAGACCTGGCATGAGTTTGGAAGAGCAAAGATGTATGGCAAATCAAGCCGTTTTGGGGGATGAGGGGGAGGAGAAGATAGTGGGATTCAGCCAAAGCTTTCCAAAACTGAGGGAAGTTAAGTCAGGCAGGGATGAAAGCTAGCAAGTTCCTGTGCTTTTTGGACATGCTGGTTGAGCTCCACTGCAACCCAAAGCCTGGCCCTGCCCTGTACTAGAACGAGCAGGATGCGTTTGTAAGGCAGTAGTGACAGTCTCCTCTCCCCCACCCCTCCACCCTCTGTGTTAGTCAGGGGAATCTTGGGGCCTTGCTATCTGTCTCCACCCTCGGGGACCTGGGGAAGCACTGTTGTGCTTAGGCTGTGGCCTGCCTTTCTTGGGGCTGCTTATTTCTTTTTGAAGAGCTTGCGGAAGGAGCTCCGGAAACCCCCTTTGGGCTCGTGCCGCGGGTTGTGGTCGCTGAAGGATGTTTGCTCATTGTCATCCTTCTGGCAGAACCTGGTGTTGTCTTCTGCATGGAGCTCCTAAAAGGGAAAAGACAATTTAACCAGCATTTGCAACCTCACATTCTTGTTCCCTTCTCTCTTTCTCTGTCTCTCTGTGCTAGGAGGGACCTGGTGCGTGAGGAGGTGCTGGCAAGGCTGGGAAACAACAGGTCACTTGGGCCTCAAGAACACTGGTACCTCTGCAGAGAGCTTGTTGCTGGCTCTGAGGCTGAGGCAGTGACAGAGGAGTAGAAGGATAAGCTTTGTTAGAGGGAACTGGAGCCTTTCTTGCTAAGCTTTTTGTTTAGGGAGAGCTTACTATCTCCTTTTGCCAGTGAGGGAGCAAGCCAGCCTGGGCAGTTGGAAAAACTTCCCACCCTCTCCTTTCTCCCCTAGGACAGGGAGGCTTCAGGCTTCTTGAGCTGTGATATGTTGTAAAAGACTCTTCTGCTGGCTCTGCTGCTGCGTGGGTTTATATCTGTGGGGCAGAAGGCTTCATTAGCACACAAAGCTTCTGGTAAATGTGCCTCTAAAAGGTCTTTCCCTCTTTCAGGAGAGTGCCAAGCTCCTCTCAGCAGGACTCTGGACAAGACCCTTTTCTCCAATTCTGCCCACTACTGCCATGGTGACCTCCTTTGCTATGTGAGGGAGAACATATCCTGCAGTTCTGGACAAGCTCCACATCTGCACCCTGCTGTGGGCCACAGCTCTGTGCAGGTGAGTGCCAAAGAGCTCACAGGCTCCTGTTTCTGTAGGGCCTGTGTCCCCATGGCTTATCCCCTCTGCCTTGTGTCCTCTGTTCAGCCATCTACCACCTCCTTTACTCATTAGGTTTGGGTTTTTTCCTTTTCTTTTTATGCTTCCTTGCTGCCTTTTCAGTCAGGCTGTTAGAACCTACCTCCCATCATTATCTGCATCTACAGCCTCATCTGTATCTTGCCTAGTTTTAACAGGAGGGTGTTTCTCCACACAACAGTGACAGAACTAGCTGTGTACCCTTGGCATCTTCCCCAGGAATCAAAGGGCATCTATTTCCTGGAGTGTAACAGCTCAAAGCTGACTTTGGACTGTCACTGCAGACTGCAGAAACATTGTTCCTCCAAGACCTGGTGTTCCTGAATGGTTAGAGTGCTGCTTGCCATGTCCCATCTGAAGGACACGGTTGCTGGGTTCTGACTGTTCTCACATAGACTTTGGCATGGGTCTACAATCCATGCAACAAATGCAGGTGAAACAAAACCTGTGGACCAGATCCTTGCTGGTGTTAAATGGGTTGAGTTTGGCCAAGTCATGCTGGTTTAAACCGGCATGACTTACCCAGCACTTACCCAGCACTCCTCACAGCAGGTGGAAAGGCACCTGTTTAACTGGGTGCCACCCATAGCACGGAATTCAAACAGCTTTGTGCATACTTTATGACCCGATCAGAACATTCACTTGTGGGGGGTAAAGCTCACTGACAAGTGGAGACACACAAGAGGCTACCTGGTCTGAAGGGTGTTGTAGCTGTCACTCAGCCAGCTGTGCACCTTTAACCCCTGCTTGTCCCTGGGGAAGACATGTTTGAAAAGGAGCTGTCTTGTCCCTCCCTTGGGCATGTACATGCAGGTGAGAACTTTAAATGTGTGGACTTGAAAGCTATTTTGGCGTGTTCTAGTCTAACTGTATCTCAGATCTTTCTCCTGCTGCTGCACCACCATGTGCCATTTTTTTTCTCCTCCTATTTTAGCCTCCTTACTTCCAAAAAGCTCGGCTTTTCACCCGCTCCTCTCTGTGGGGGGAAGTAGCTCCTTTGGGAGCTTCGAGATGAAGCTGAGATCAAGTGAGGCTGAACATTCCTCTCCTGCTTCTGCTGCAGACGACTTCCACTGCTGCTCCGTGTGCTGTAGAGTCTGGTGCTCACACCCTCAGCGCTCCTCGGCAGCTCCTTCAGAGACCTGCTCAGCTGCTTGCCTTTGCTGTGGAACATCTCACGCTTGTAAGTACTGCTGCTCACAGGAGTGCAGCTCTTAGGCAATGGCTGTAAGGCATGGTCTGTCCTCTCTGGTTCTGAGGTGAAGTTAACAGGCCTAAGGAAGCAAATATCTAAGCTGGACTCGGAAGAGGCTGGAGAGCAATTATCAAAGAGAGCGAGGTTTTGAAAGGTGTCTTCTTCATAGGGGCCTGGCATGGTGAAAACCTCCCCAGGGTAGTCAAATTCTTCGTAGCTTGGTGCAAAGTTCCTCGCATCCTGCAGGAGCTCCACGGAGGTCCTGATGGCTCTCTCAGTGTTTCCCACCGCGTCAGCTGGTGGTGCTTCATACTCCATTTCAGGGATGGATTGTAAGGGGGCTGTCAAAGCCTTGAGTTCCTGCTCTGTCAGCTGAGAGGATGCAAGGATGTTCTCTGGCCTCTCATGTTTTCTACTTTCCATCTCCCAGTCAGGGGGCTTTACAGCCTGGATGTTCTCAATCACGGTTGGCTGGGGTTTCTTCATCTGAGGCATCAAATGCCTTAAAAATAAGAAACAAAACAAAAAACAGACAGAAGTGGAATACTAAAGATGACAAAGACAGCACGACAAGGCCCCCCACCCCCCCACACCCCTTCATTCACTCAGCCCTATTGTGTTGATTTATGGCCCGAAGGTATTTTCCTGTCTTGGAGAATAGTAACAGAGCTGTCACTCACAGAAATTGCCTGGCTGGTTAGGAGGAGCAAACTTGCAGAGACAGAACTGTTTATCCAGTAGCTTTGGCTGACTTTTGTACTCTACAGCATGAAATGAATAGAAACTGAGATGAGAAACCAGCTGCTCCATCTCTCTCCTGTTCATCTGCATTTTGGATTTTTATTTTCCTGCTCTTTCTGTAATGTAGGGGCTGTGCCTTACTTTCCTGTGGTCTGGTTGTCTTTTCAGGTGGACAAGATTTCTCTCTTGGGTAGGGTGGCTCTGTACCCAGAAGTGTGTCAGGAGTACTTGGAGGTCTGCTACCCTCCTCGTGTTCCAGGTAAATCAGCAGTGCTCTGTTGGATGAGGTACTAGGTGCAGGGCATGACCTCCATGGCCCTTAAAGAACAATAGTTAGGATAGTCCTTTGGCCATCCTCTGGGGTCTTAATGAATGGAGTGGGGGAACCTTGTGATGTTCAAGATATGCAGAGTTCTGCATCTGGGACAAGATAACCCCATGCATCAGACCAGGCTGGGAGATTTGGGTTGAGCAGCAGCCCTGGCATGAACTCGGTGTTATAGCCAATGCCAGGGTAAAGATGAACTGACAGCATGCTCTCATGTCAGGCAAGGCAAACCCAGCCTGAATTGTATTGCCATATCTGCATGGCCAGATGTGCCTGGGGAGTTATTTTCCCCACTTCTGCTCAGTACTGATGAGGACCCACCAGGCACCATGTTGAGTCCTCTGCTGAGGATGAATGTGGGGGCAGTCCCAGCTGAGGCTACCAAGATGGGGGCCTGGAGCATGATGTCTGTGAGAGGAGGGAGATTGTCTTGGGCAGTCTGGTGAGAAGGAGGCTAAGGACCGATCTAATAACACTGCTGCTTCAGGGGGACTTGGAATGATGACGCCAAACTCTTTTCGTTAGTATCAAATGATGTAAGGAAGCACAACAGCCACAAATTGTTGGCATAAGAAAAAAGGCAAGTCTAGCCTGCTTCTCTAGTCCTCATCTCAGTTGGCACCTATGAATAAGCTGGAAATGGCCAAAGGGGAAGCTGTATGAGGAGCAGTTGAGGTCACTTGGTCTGTCAGCCTGGAGGAGACTGAGGGGAGACCCCACTGCACTCTGTAGCTTCCTCATGAGGGGAAGTAGAGGGGCAGGCACCAATCTCTTCTCTGGTGACCAGTGACAGGACCTGAAGGAGTGGCCTGAAGTTGTCAAGGGAGGTCTAGGTTGGATATTAGGAAAAGATTTTTCACCCAGAGGGTGGTTGGGCACTGGACCCAGGGAGGTGGTCACAGCACCAAGCCTGTCTGAGTTCAAGAAGCTTTTGAACGATGCTCTCAGGCACATGGTGTGACTCTTGGGGCTGTCCAGTGCAGGGCCAGGAGCTGGACTCGAGGATCCATGTGGGTTCCTTCCAACTCAGAATATTTTGTGATTCTGTGAAGATTGCCAGGTCCTACCAGCAGCTGTGTCTGTCTTGAATTAGTCTGATGTCTTTTTGAACCCATATTGTACTTGTATCTTGTGATAGTGAGTCCCATCATTCAATTATGTGCTGTGTGGAAAAGTATTTTTTTTCCTACTCTTCATCATGTTTTCTAGCTCTTGTAATGTTCACAGTGAATAGTGCAGAGTGTTACTATGCACACCACTCTCAGGCCTACACAAATTCATATTCCCCCTGTTAGGCAGCTAGCTGTTAAGGCAGCTAGCAAGAGCGTTGACAGCCTTGGGTAGAGCTCTGAAACATTTCCTGCTTGTAAGCCACATGGTAGGGGACAGCAGGAAGGAGCTGGCCCTTAATCCTTCTATCTATATACAGGGAGTTGTTTTGAAAATGACAACCTGTAATGCCTGGTGTCACTGCATGGTATGGGTGAGGAGAGTTTTCAGCCTACTTTGAAAGCCACCTACTAGAACAACAGGCTTACGGGGTTGTTGTGCCAGAGGAAGGTGCTGGCGGGAATGATTGTATTGTCTCTTCAGTGTGGATCCCACTGTCCCGCATTGATGCTGCACTGGGTGTTGGAGAAACCTCCTGGCTTGTACACTGGGAGGTGAGACCCTTGTACAGCTTCACCAGGGATGACCTGAGGGAGGAGAAATCCATCGTCGGGCTAAGAAATAAGGCAGGGAATGAGCACGAGCATGTAGAATCACAGAAAACAGGACTGGGAGGGACCTTAATATTCCCGTTCACCTCTTCCCACCCCAAGGAAAACTTGTTCCACCTAGTCTGTTCAGTCAGCAGGGCCTCCTGCTCTCTGTTCTGTTCTTAATGCCTCTTCTGATAGCAGTCCCTCCCCAGCAGTCCGCTCCAGCCCTTTACCACCCTCCATATTTGAAAGCTTCCCTCGAAATTTGATCTTGTCCTACTTCCCAGGTAAATCATCACAAGGAGCAAAGGCAACCAGATTTTAATTTGAGTAAAAAGTCTTGATTTCAAGGAATTGTTCTGAACTGCAACTTGAGAATCTACATTCATAGATCATACATAATAGTTCATCTCAAACAGGTAATAGGAGGCTTTTGTTTCTCTCACCCCTTCCCCCAGTAAAATAAGGTAACCATATTCTTTTGGAGTCTTAGCCCATGAGGGAAACATTCACCTTCACCAAGGCCTCGAGTTGCCAAAGCAGCTAAATCCCTATGTGTTTTTCCACTGGGGAGTGACTTTGACATCAGCTTAAGGAATCAGCTGATCCCATGAAACACATGGCTGCTATGTTTAGAAGGATTTAAACGTGATTTTCCTTTCTCTCTCAGAGTTAGACAGAAGGGCCCACCCCAAATCAGTTTGGAGGCCAAATGCCAATAGCAGTCCTTCTCCAGCACTCCTATACAAAGGATCTGTTTTATTTCAACAGAGCAATGTGCCTGTGCCTAAACTCCCTGCTGCCTGGATTCCCTCACACCTCCCTTCCCTCGTGATAGGGAGTATAAGCTGATGATGTGCTTACTTCTTCAGCTTTTTCCTCTTCTGTATCAGCAGGTCTTCATTGCATTGGAAGAGGAGACTATAGTGTGAGATGAAAACCCGGAGGCGCTGCACACACACCAGCAGCAGGTAATAGTCAGGATGCTCTTGCTCCGTGAACTTCAGGACATTCTGAGGCACAGAGGAGAGCAGGCTGTTTGGAGGGTGTCCTAACCCTTTCTAGGTAGAAGGTGCTACTGGAACCATGCTCTGGAGTGCACATGGCACTGCCATTTGGGAGCTTTTCTAGGCAGCATCAGTTTCTGAGGGTCTTGGATGGGGCCTGCCTCCTGCTACTCCAGTGGAAATGCACAAGTAACCACATGGAATGTGTGGGTGATGCACTGGTTGAGCTTAGCTTTGGGTAATAAACCAATGTCTTGGCTTTATGGGGCTTGCTTTCTGTGTCATTTGCCTTGCCTGAAATGTTTCAGTACAATTCTGTGAACCAGAACCAGAACTCTTTTTATCAGCCGTCTCTCTGTAGGAAAGATTGTTGGGCCCTAGGAGCCCTCTCAGTCTCTCAGCTAACACGCATGTGGAGCATAGCTGTTAGGCTGGAGCTCACAGGAGATGTGTCCCATCTCTGTCCTCCCATTCTCCCAGAGCAGCAGGCAGCAGACTTTTTGCCTTCCCAGAGGACAAAAGCTTGTTCTATCAGGTCAAATGGAGAAACTGGCAAAAATAAGCGAGCTCCGGGTGAAAATTATGAAAATTGAGCTATTTCTAGCTGGCTTTCCCTTTCAACTTTTTTTTTTTTTTTTTTCAAAGAGCCCACTGGGTTTGCCAGAAGCCCTGTACCTGTATAGGCTCAAATACCAGCTCTGAATTAAAAGTCATCTGCTGTGATAAGAGTTCAACAAGACAGTTGCCATCCTGGGGCCCTACCTGTAGATGAATAAGGTATTCAGGGATTCGCTGGACTATATGGAAGAACAGAATGTAGAGATCAGACTTGATTTCTTCTTCTACCTGAAATAGAGAAAGCAACTTAAGAGTCTTTCCCACCCATAAAACATGTCTGCTTCCAAATGGTTCTGTGGTTTAATAAGCAGTTGTGCTGTAAGTAGTTTTAAGAGTTTAGGAGCACACCAGTCAAGTGGTAGTTGTGTGTGACAGCACACTATGACACATCTTCATCTTGCTTATGGAAGGGACAGTTGCAACTCCTTCCACCAGAAATACTAGGATGAAATTGTTTAGGCCAGAGATTATCTATGAGGGACTCTCAGCCTAATTAAGCAGGGGTGTATGTTTAAAGGGCACTAGTTAAGTTTCAGTGAAATGCCAGGTATACACTGTTGTTCAGAATGAAGTTCTTAGCTGAGGCCCAAATGAATTGAACAAGATGAGATTGACTTCTAAATTAAAACGTCTTGGAAGCAAGCTAGTGTGGTTTAGTTATTGCATTTTAAAACTACCTTTACATTTAACTTTCCTAGTTTAGACCAAGAATCAAGTGTGTGAGGCCAAACGCCTGAAGCTGAACAGTGAAGACTCTTATCTATAAAGCACTTACAGCCTCACTCTTGATCTCTCTGTTTGGATGAGTCCTCCATTTTCCAGGAGACACTGTTTGGAAAAGGTCTGGATAGCACATGCATAGGCAAGCTTTTGGGAGGCTTAATCTGAGACACTGTTTCATGTCCCAGCAGAAAAATAGGTTGGGTTACACACAATGTTAAAACTGCCGTTTGTAGGTGTGTGTCAGCCATGGCAACTTTCAGGAAACTGGCATTTGGCAACAGAACAAGTGGATTGGCAGAAGAGTCCTATCGTGGGCAGGCATAATGGGAAAAGATCCAGGCCTGCATGTTGCCATTAGATGTCTTTGAAGTAGGCAGGAAGTTTACCTCCTTCAGGATCACCACGTGGATCAGAGAGATGCATTCTGGCAGGTCCCTCAGGTAAGCAACATAGTAGTCCAGAAAATTATTCTTACAAAAGAAAAAGAGGAAAGAACAAAGAAACTTAAGATTTAGATTTTTGGTCATAGAGCCAGCCAGAATGAGAAACTGTTGATTCCCCACCATCACTCCTGGAACGTCATTAGTGCAGGAGAGCTGCTAACTGTGTGACTCTTTCAGGAACTTCTCACAAAAGGCCGTTTTATAAAATGTGTTCAGCTGTTGAGCACAGTGTGTGAAGCTTTACAACAGATGGGGAGGGGGAAGAGAGGCTGGGCAGCAGGAAGCTTTTCTTATTTAAGACTCTTAAAATTTATAAAGCATCAGATGAGTTTTTACACATCCTTGCTGGAGAGGTCCCGCTGCTCACCAGGGCAGACCTTCACCCTGAGAAGCAGATCCAACAAACCATACAGCGTAAGAGGCCTGCCCACCTGCTTGTTGTAACTCTGAGCAAAGTGTACTGGGGAAGGGGAGTATCAGAAACACTCCCTTTTCACACTCGTAGTGGGAATCAGACATTCAAGCTGTCAAGGCTCATGTGTGGCTCCTGCACTGATTATAGAGCTGTGCTATAAGGCTGCATGCCCACAGGTGTGTCTGCCATATGGGCTCCCTGAACAATCAAATACTACAGCAAAGGGGGTACCATGCACCAGGACTCTGCTCAAAGGAGGCTTGCTGAAAGGCTTTACCCGAGCCACAGCTTCACAGCACAGCCTCTCTGTTGCAAAGTGTTTTGGCCCATCTGTGGGGCCATCAACACAACATCATAACAGAGGAGTCCAGAGAGGTCTTTAACATACCTCATCATTTGTTAACTTCAGGAAGATGTCTCCTAGGATCCCTTGTCGTGGCCAGCTCAGGACTCGCTCCTGCAGAGCGTGAAGTAAATCCACATGCTGCTGGACCAGGAACCGCAGAGAGTTGGGGAAAAAACTGAAGGGAGACGATTTCAGACTGGTTACACAGAGCAAAAACTCAGCCCTGATAAGCCTGTACTGCTGAAGTGAACCATTCATGTTTGGTCAGCACAGTCTTGCACATGTATTATTAACTACACATATTATTGCTACTATAGCACAGGTATTATTAACTACTTTTGTCAGAGTCCTGGCTGCATCAGGAGGTCCTGTTTTGGCTGCTATGTACATGCAAGTACCCTTTCCAGCTGGTTATTAATACAGTGTACTGAAGGCTTCCTAAACTGACTTTCCAGTGCATTCTGTAGCAGAACTAAAAAGCCCAAGGCAGTGCTGCTGTGGCTAATGAAGCAGGCCCTGAGCCTTCCCACTGAGAGCTCCCCAGCTTGGTGTGTTGTCTCATTTGTCAGACCCTTTAACAAGACAATCCATTGATGCAGAGTTGGTCAAAATATACTACTGCATTTCTGCCATTTCATGTTGGTTTCATCCAGAATCAGAATGAAGATGGTGGACGAAATGCAAGGACAGATAGGAAAGTCTTTAGTCATTGCAAAAACCTTCCAATGCCTCCAATTTTCAACTAGAAATAAACTAAGGGTTCAAAGATATCTGTGTGGATGAAAGAAAAATGTGTGAGAGGATGATGCAAAAGAATATTGACTGAATAAAACTCCCCAAAAGAGAGAGAGCACACTAAATCAAATACCTTCTCTCTTTGGTGCTTCTTTTCACATCTGGCCCTTGCAACGTGGCCTTGATCTTCAGGATTAGGGAAAGGTTGATGACATACTTCCTTTCTGATTCCAGCAGCTCCAAAGCGATGTTCTGCCTTTTGGCTTCCAGAAGATAATGGTTAAGTTTAAAAATAAGGAAATACTGACCTCAGGGACAGCTTCACATTAGACTGGTGAACTGACATTGAATCATGAAAGGAGAAACTCTTTAAAAGTGATATCAATGTCTTGTCTTTGTGTGTCTTCTTTCCCCAAAATGTAAAATTCCAGCCTGATGCTACAGCATGCCCCAGACACAACTAGAGCCACTAGTCATGCTAAGAAAGCTCCAAAGCAAATGTGGTTTTCCCTATGAATACCAAATTTTTCTAAGAATAACAAAACAAGCAATCAAAGGCAAAACAACTCATATCAGGGTTTCCCCTCCAATTTCCTGCAGAATGAGAAGTTGTATTTTTCACCCATTTAAGCAACTACACTGCCACAGTATCATCAGTACTCTAGATCTTGGAAAGGAGAATGGCTGTCCTGGGTACAGAGTGATTTCTCTCAGTCACACAGACCAACAAACTCAAAGGCCAAAGCTCTTGGAGTGTGAGGCCCTGAGACATTCCCCCCTAGCAGGATAAACTGGCCTATGTATCTCCCTTCATAGACTCTGGTCACCAATCAGCTCACACCAGACATGGATACCCTCTAGCCAGTTTTCTAGTCCTTACCAGCCAAAGAGGGTTCACATATGATGTCCGCTGAGCTGTATCTGCTTTGGCCCATGTCTTTCCCTCTCTCCGGTTGCTCTTTGGAAATGTATTCATCTCCCCAGTCCTTGGTGTCCTTGGGTTGCTTCCATACCGTTGATGGCAGATGCATTTTTGACTGCCCTTCTGTTGCCAAGGAAGGCTTGAGGCTGTCATCTGTCTCCATAGCTGCTCCTGCAACAACAAACAGGGATATGGACTCTGGTATGTCAGTAGACAGAGTATGCTACAGCTGGCAGCTAACCTGTGTTTTCATCCAGTGGAAGTACCAGAAGGAGAGTTTGAATCATTCTTTGTGCTTCACAGGGGCTGGGACCTTGTACTGTTAATTTACAAAGGAAGTGCAGTTGGTGGCACTTTGGCAGAACAAGGTTCATGCTCTTCCAACATTTATTTTCAGGCCAAATAAGGTCCAAAGTCAGACATACGTTAGAGAAGAAGAAAACATATGTTTCAAGTATGGTTGCCCTTCAGGGTTTTGGTACACTTCAGGACTTGATAATGTGATGCTTATTGGCAGGTATTGTAGAACACATTGTTATCATTTGGATTTAAATGCCATTCTCAGTGTGTGTAAACTGTCATAGCTCTTAACATTTTTGTTAGTGTGGTGTAGCTACACAACAGCAGTAGGACTGATAGTCTGAGGTTACTGAATCACAGAGAAGGGAGGGAAGGGTACAGGTGCATTAGAACCATTGGGTTGGAATTGCTCTAATGCAAATATTTTGAATTTGGTTTGCAATGAACCATTTTCCATAGCTTTTATTATCTCTTCTTTTTAAAGTGGATTTAAGCAAAAGAGCCATCCAGAACAGTGAGTGCTGCTACTGCACACTGCAAACATCTAATGGTTGTTTTCATGTGTCCTTTGGCTGGCCAGGATCCATAGTGTCCACTTACTATACCCCTACTCTTACTTCTGACCAATTTTTATTTTTGTCAGGAGAACTCCTCTGTTCAGATGTGTCTAACAAGGAATCTGGAAGCTGGTGGGTGAATACACAGCTCACCAATTCTACTGGGGTGTTGTCACTCCAAGACCATCTCTTGCCAAGTAGCAAAATGGTGCTCTCATTATTCTTTCTCACATCAGTAAGCCTCTATTCTTGCTTTCTGCAAAGGCACTTAGAATCCGAGAAATCAACAGCAGAAAGGCTTTCCCTGCCAAACATCAATCCTTGGCATTGACCATCAGGTATTGGACACTTCAGGAACACAGGTTTGTCCTCATATCTCAGCTGCAAGTATGAAAATGGAGGTATGTGGCAGATTGAAAGACATCCCTGTGAAATGTGTTCCCTGAAAGCCTTTCTTCAATGCAGTAAAGCAAGCACTCTAATTGAATCATTGTCCTGCTCTTTTTTGACAGTTTAATATTTTCGTACCTGGACCTGCTATGACTTTCACACCTCCTTCTCCCATTGGCATGATCCTGGTGTCAGACACTGTTGAAGAACAAAGGTAAATTTAACAAGACAGCTGTAGAGCAGGCTTCCTCCTGCTAAGCCCTGTCAGTATAGTTAAACCCTCCAGTCTTTCACAGTTTTGCTATGGAAACTATTTGATTCTGTCTCTGTGCCACTCACACTATAGGAACAAAGATCCAGTCTGCATCCCTTTCCTTGGAGGAGGCAAGCGAGAGCTTTTGGGACTGTTCACAAAGCAACATCTCCTGAATCCAGGCCAGCACCAAGGCTGCTATCCTGAGACACTGTGCTGAGATGTATGCACAGATCCAAGAGCAGTGCTGCTGAGGGGAGCACCTCTCTTTTTGTGCTGCTGGCACCTGAGGAATACTTAGTGATCTTTTTCTGAATTTTTTTCCTGAGAAAGGCACTGCATTTGCCTATTCTATTTCTTACCTTTTTCATAAGTCACATTGTGTAAAAGACTTGTAAAATCTTCATTAATCAGCACAGGTTCTGGGAGGTTAATGGATCGAAATGGGCTGCCCTGGAGAGGTGTTGGTACTGTCTGTGACCCATGATCATCTTTCTGTGCTCTTCTGTACAAATAGAGAACAAGACAGATGGGAAGTATGAATGCTACAGGTGGAGTTCCTATGCTACAGTTATGGCAAACATTACTGTAAGTACAACCACAGAGTTAGAAGTAGGACAACTCTAGCAGAGACCAGGAAAGGAGTTGGCTTTGATGGAATTGGCAGTTCATGAACAGTATTCTGGAAATAACTTCCACTGGCTATAGGAGAAGGTTATTTCAAGTCTGTTCTTCTGCAGAGCATATTTCATCTAATTAAATAGATTAATTAGCTAAGGGGCTAGCCTAGATTTGCAAAGTGTTTGCATCAAGGCAAACACTGTATAGACTCATGATCAAAACTCTGTCTTCAGGAGGCTAATTAGGGCCAAGCTGGACAACTTGTCTGCTCCATCACAGCAACAGTGTGTCCCAACAGTGTGCAAACATGCTTCTGTGTGACTCTGCTCAGAGGAGAAAACGCTGGTGATAGTAAAGCAGATCATGACTGCACCAGCAGGAGCCCACTGAATCCACCAAGCTCGAAAGGGGAAACTGCAATGCTATTGTCTGGATGGAGGTGACTTAGTAATACCTTCTGATGGTGGAGGTTTCTGACTTTCAACAGTGTTCCTGCCCCAACATGTTTGTGTGTTCCACAGGACCCTGGTTTCCCTGACAGCTGCTGAGGGTTATTTTGCTGTTGGAATCACAGTGGAGTGATAGCGTTTTTCTACAGTGTTTGCTCCGTGGGGTAGATGTCTAAAAGCCTGGGGTGAACTGAAGGCTAGCATTTCTGTTTATAATCAGGGTTGATACACATGTTCAGCCAGGAAAACATTAAGAAATTAAGCTATACAGAAATTAACACAATGGTAATTAGCATGCTCAGAACCCTGGACTTGGGGCTCTTACTTAGCTTTCATTTTCCGTGATTCCCGCCGCTTTTCTTGCTGCAGCTGCTCAATTTTCTGTTGCATTTCCTCCTGCTTGGCACTGATTTCTTCAATCATTGACTTGGCATCGCTGAGCTCCTCCTGAGAAACAGGCAAAAGCACAGCATTCCCAGGGTGCCCATCAGCCTTATGCTTTGAATGCTAGCTGGTGTGCACTGAAGATGCTTCAGGGTGCGGGGAGAGTGGCTGTGTGATTAGACACTCTTCCTTTGCAAGTCCAGTGTGTCACACATGCCGTGCACAACATGGCAATCCTTAATTCTACAGGCAACTCACCTAAGCCAGCACGATGTCACATGATTAAGGCACTGGTGGGAGACGGACACTTAGGGCTTCACCCACCACCAGCTGAAAGCACTGGGAGGACTCCTGCCTTTTACTGGCATTTGGAGGTGGACCTTAGGAAGCACACTTCCCTCTGCAGTTTTCCAGCATGGGTATTCACATGTTGCACTTGGTTCAGATCCCAGTGTGAGCACTCACATATATATTAGCTTTTGCCAGTCAGGCCTTGGATCTGCATTTTTAGCCTGGTTTCCTAAGGAAATGAGGCCCTTTGTTACCTCCCTGTCAGCACGTCCTCCCTCAGGCAGTTTCAACCAAGCCTTACTTAGATGTAGAGCTCTGATGCATGAAGTTTCTACAAGTTTCATGAATGTGAGCAGTAGGATGGAGGAGAGAGACTCAAGAGTTTCTTGTAAGCCAAAGTATTTTCCCCAAGCAAGGAGATTACTTCTCTGGGAGCTCAGCATTTGAAAAGTCAATATGGGCATGAGGCAGAGGGAGAGTAGCCTTTGCCCCTCCTGTTTCTTGCATAATTCCTTGTATCTGGATCTTTAAATCCCCTTTTCCCCTATAACAATGTCCTGGATAGCCCTGCCTCTGGTTGCTCTGAGACCTCTCCCATGCGTCTTTACAGTTCTTGTTATCTCCCTTTCTCATCTGGCACCAAGGGCTCCTTTTCCCTGGTGCCATCTGTCTCCCTAGTCACAGGGTCAGTCATGGGCTTTTCCAGTAAGCAGCCCTCTTTAACTTCAAAATGTATTATTGACTCAGCAAAACCCCGTGGGGAAAATTTGCAGTTAAAACAATAAAAGAATTCCTCTGCCTGCCTCCTCACACGCAATCATCCAGTGTCTACATGGAGATGCTGGCTGGTTTAAAGTGTACATCAAGCCTTCTTGCTAGGCTCTCTCTCCAGTCCTTTGTCTTTATCCTCTTGGGCCAGATCAAACTAGGCAGCACTTCCTCCCAGCCATGTGGGAATGCAACTTCAAAAGGCTTTAGAGTTTTGTGTTAATTCGCTGCTCCCCATGGCATTGGTTCCTGCAGGAAATGCAGACTTGCCCCTGGGAGAGGTACGGGGCAGCCTGTGGACAGGCCATATGCCCACTGCATGTGCAGCCCAGAGCAAGGGTTGCTCGTGCCCAGGTAACTCACAGCACTGCCTCATGGACAATGAAGAAGGCTAAACAGGCCAGAGTATGGGCTACTTTTAGGTTGGAGCTGTCAGGGGAGACCCAAAGCCAAAGGAAGTACCCCAGCTCCATCCAAAACAATTGCCTGCTCATTTTCTTTGCAAGCAGGAAGTATTGATGGAGGCAGGGGAATGCTTCCCTGTGCCACACAAGCTAATGTGACACATGTGCAGCCTCCCCGCAGGTCACACTCCTACCTTGAACGTGTTGAGGGAATTCTTCATCTCAGCCACTTTCTCTTCCATGGCACAGCGGCAGCTCTTGACCTTCTCTTCCAGGGCATACTCGCCATGCTGGATTCGTGACAGCTCCTGCATTGCTTCTGTGAAACCTGCCTTCAACTCAGAGGCCAGTGCCTGCAACTAGAGCAACCACAAACACGGTGGGTTCAGTCCCTCCTCCCAGGTGCAGGTGGTTGTGTCCCCAAGGGTCACCTGTGGCTCAGAGTGGCAAAAAGGCTGGGTGTAACCCATCCTGTAAGGTGCTGTCCTCTTTCTCCTCTTCCTATCATGGCTGGGAAACATGGGGGGAGGTTTGGCCCCTGCTACAGCCTCAGTACAGCATAGGAGGTGTTTGTATTGGGCAATCAGTGTGCCCATTTTAGGCTACGAGTTTTTTCAGGGTTCCTGGTGGTTTGCAGCCTGTCATCCTATAGAAGGAGAGGACAGCCTGAAACATGCCAAGAAGGTTTGCAATAACAGCAGCCAGATTATTAGTCTCCAAAGCAGCTGAGAAATCAAGAATGTGTCTGTTTTTGAGCAAGTCCTCCTCCCCCACATGCTCGTGGGGCAGGTACTCTCCCCAGACGGGTCTAACCCCTCGCTCTCCATGGGCTGTGGAGAAGCTCTGTCCTTTGTCAGCAGGCCCTTTCCATGGAAGGAAGCAGCTCTAACTCATGCCGGGGAGGGAATGGGAGGTTTTCCCCTGGCATACAGTGACGCTGTGCCCACTCTCCCTATTTTCTGTCCCTAGAGGTCCTAGCACTGCTGAAAGAGCTCACCACCTAAGCTGGAGGCAGCCAGTTGATAGCTGGGTGAAGCAGGAGATGGAGCAGGGCAAGCCAGGCTGGCATAGCAAGCAGACAAGGCAGGTGTGGAGGTGGGCAGTGAGGGAGGAAGGCAGCTTGCAGAGGGCTAAGCGGGGACACCCTCTGTGGGAGCAGCTCGGGCTGGTGACCCTGAACTCTGCCCCCACTGCTGTGAGAGAGGCGCTCGCTCTGCCTGCACAAAGCCCACAGCGAGGTCGCGGCCCAAGGCGCTTTGGTGCCAGTAGTTTTTACCTTTACAACAGAAATTCGGCCTAACATCTGGTTATAAACTGAGTCCAAAACTGGAGCACTGGTGGTAAGCGGACAGCCACCCCGGGGAACTCAGGCGCTTGAGTCCTGTAAATGGAGCAGAGATGGCTTCCGATACCTCGGGGCAATGGCATGCACCATCCTCCTCTGATCAAGACTGGCAGTGTCTTTACAGAGGATGTCTACCTGACATCCCCATTTCTACCCCATCGCTTACCCCACAGTTCCCAGTCTGATCTGGCTGGACACATGTTTCCAGAGCTGTCTGGGTAGAAGTAGCGGGACTGAGAGGAACCGGAACAGGGCAGAGGGGACCAGGAGGCTGAGGAAATCTTCCCTTCTCAGGCTGACAATCCTGACTCCCCAAGCCAGCCAGAGCTCCAGACCACTTGGTTCAACCCCTTCCCCCACCCCTCCTGGCCACAGTGACACCCTATGACCTCTGAGTGTAGCCTGAAGCCCCCCTGCTTGGGGCCATGGCTGCTAGGGCAGGCAGTGACTGTACCGCTTCTAATGGCTCAGTCCAGATGGTCATGGCCTCGTCAGACATCCTAACACACATGCCTGGAAAACCAGGGAGGGGGATGGTTATAAAGTACTGCAGCTGTGCAAAATTTTAATATTCCCATCCCCTGCTCACAGCTGCTTGATACACTTCCACCCTGAGCTGACATGGCCAAGGCACAGTCTGTCTGCCTCGCCTACATTAGGGCTGGGTGTCACATGCTGTCCTCCAAGTGAGAAGGGCTGATTCGTCAGATCTGTCCCTTCCAGCTGAAATATGCTATTCCGTTCTATCCTATGCTATCCATTTTAGAGATCTCCTTCAGGATGGAGATGTCACAGCCTCAAGTCTTGCTAGCAGTGGACCAGTCCTGAAGCTGGCCCTGGAGATAACAATGTCTGGGGAGAATAAGCCCAAAATGAAATGTTTCTGCCAACAAGCCTTGCCATCTCCTCCTCAGATGCTTCCAGAAAGGGGGTAAACTAGACAGATCCTTTGTGAAGGGTACAGTGATGGCATTCACTGCTGATTTAGAGGTTTCACAGTAAAAAACTGCAAGGCATCAGCAAAAATCAGCAAAATCGGACCACTGCAGAGACTTTGGTGTCCATGTGCACTGAAACACTCTATGAAAGCAGAGTTCAGCCAACAGGATGAAAGATTTGGACTAGAGGCTGGACAAAATATCCTCTGCTCCTAAGACAGCTGTTAGTTTGGGATTCACTGTTGGCCAGTCTCTGCTTTTGCAACCACAGTGCTAGCTTAGTTTCTTTGTGTGTCCTTCTCAGTGCTCCAGACCGCAGCCTGGGTCTGTCCTGCCCGATATATCCTTTCTCAGCCCTATGCAGCTTGCAGTGGCTATTTCAGACACTGAAATGCATTCCTTTTGTTGCCACTTTATGAATGAGTGCAGCCAACAACACCAATCAGCCACAGGCCTTGTACGACTGAACATGAAGTGCTGAAACCCTGAGAACTCCCTGCTCAGAGCACAGAAAGGAAACACAAACAGTCTTGTGGCATTGGATGCAGGGTTGATCCAAAATGAAGTGGAGTGGTATATGAACAGCATGTTATCTTTGAACTCTTGCCAAGCGCAATGTAGCTGTGGATTTTAGTTTGAGTTCATTTCTGAAAACAAGCTGTAGAAAGCCATCCTTTAAATCCCATAAGCTGTTACAACAGATGGAAGCCACTGAAGTATCAGCTCATGCTTACATCTTGCCCAAGTGATTGTATGCCTACGGGACCAGGGAGATATTTCACAGGTTTGTGACCCTCTGGAAAGTCAAGACAATTCTGTGTTTCAAAAGTTTCTAAGTGCAACACATAGCAAAAAAGACAGATTTTGTAATACAGCAACAGTTTAACTGTACTGTGTTGCCCTGGCTCACCTATTCATGGCAATAAATACCCACCTTAACACCTAAGTTGTGGAATTTACGGAACACACCTTAACAACTTAAGTTGAACTAACTAATGCCTAGAGGATGAGTGAATCTGCATAGGGATTCCTTAGAAACCATCCAAGAACTGTTCAAAAAAAGCATTTAGGCATCTAGATAATTTAGTATCAGATACACATTTCAGCTCCCATCTGCCTTTGGAGTGCAGCCCTCAAACCTCACAAAGCAATGCAGTGAGACATTATAAAATTTATATCTATAAAATGGCTGTGAAATCTCCTTTGCTGAGCCTCTGCCTTTGTCTCACGTGCTGTACTGTGCACAAAGGGTGGACAGGACTGATGCTGCTTCCAGGACCAAAGGCAACAAAGATGCAGAGCCTCCCCCTTCTCTCATGGTGAGTGCCAGCAATTTGAGACATTTGCAAAAGGTAGTGACCATCCTTGCAGCCTAAAACTGTGTTCAGTCTTTGAGGCAGCCCAGGGAAGACGGTTGTGGCCAGGAGATGGGGATGGGTTATGGAAGGAAGGACTGGGATGGAAAGAAGGCAGCAGAGCCTTGGTGAGCTGGGTTCACTGCCCTGGCTGCCACTGAGAGGATGAGAGGGAACCTTTGCTTCCATGAGTAGCTGTGTCCCCACAGATCTCCCCCAGCACTAACAAGGCTGTCCAGGACTCTGTCCCCAAAGGGGTGGCTATTTGCATCTGCCAACCTTGGCAGCTGCCTAAGGTCCTTACACTAGAAAAAGGGCCTGCTGTCAGGGACCTTGAGCTGAAGCCTGTCAAAACCAGTAGAAAACAGAGTTGTGATAAAGAAATACTGTACAGGGATAATTCTGCTATTATAAATATATCCTTGAAAAGAGCAAAGCCTTCTGTGGTCATGAAGGAGTACTCTCTGTTACTTCCCCCAGCTTATCTACTGCCCATCCCTTCGCACATCTGCTGGGGCTGATCTGAAGGAGTAAATACACATTGTTTCACTCAAAAGAGGGCTGCCTGAGGACACTGCTTTAAACCAATCTGGCACAAAATCCAACGTTTCCCACAAACCCTGGATCTGATTTTTCTGAGTTGTATGATGCATTCTTTTACCAGGGAACAACCAATTTCTAGAACAGCTACTAACTCCTGTGTTTAAGGGCAGCACTTCTACAGCCAAGCATCAGGAAGGCTTGCAATGCCTCATAGCAGGAAAGCAGCAGAGCTGCAGTGATTTACAGTGGTAAAGAACCAGCCCTAGGAGTATATCCAGTATTTATATTCCTAGGCAAGGATGATAGGAATATAGGCAGAGCAGCAAGGTAAGGACAGAAGAGAAAGATGAAGGTGCTTAAAGGGGGCTGCAAGCACTTATCAGCTCTTGTTCCACATCTGCCCATTGTCCATAGGGTTTTGCTGAAGCAGAAGGGAAGAATTAGCTGGTAACTCTCATTTCGGGATTCATCAGGGTGCCCACATGCCAGCTGGAAACCAACATGTGTGTGTGATGTTTCCAGCACACTGTTCCACATGCATTGGATCCACTGTGCTGGGCCCTTCAGCAACCCAGTCACAGCTCCTGCTTGGAGCTGCCTGGATGGGAAAAGAGGATGAAATGAGAGAAGCACTGGTTCTAGGAAAGCGGTTTCTTCTCCACTTGCCATAGTGCACTTACAAGCAGTTACAGGCATTAGTGTTGCAGTGGTGACAAGGGAGGTCTCAAAGAGCCTGGATTTCCAGTTCAGGGATGTGTTTCCTCTTTCATATTTCAGTTCCATATTGAACCAGACCACGGATTTAAAGTGCTTAAAACTCTGTTGCATTTCCTGCAGACTGGAAATGCGTAGGAAACATTTCATGTGGAAACACTGAAACTGTGTCTTACAGGAAGGACGCTCCCTGGGCTGTGGTGCAGACAACCTTGTTGCATCTGTGGTGTCTCATAGCGGCAAGAATGTCAACACAAAGAGTGGCCACAGAGCTCTGGAGGACCTGATCACCCTGAGCCAATGCTGACTCCAAGACAGGGTTTCCAAGCTCCTGGCTGGGAAGGCAGACAAAGACATGCAGAAAGACTCAACACTCTGGCTGATCTGGATTATCAGGCAAGAGCACCCCATGGTCTGAGACGCTGTGAGGCTGCCAGGATAACCCAAAGCCCCATAGAAGACTTGGGCCCCTTCTGCAGAAGACACCCCTGCCCCATGTCAATCAACAGATCCTTGTTCCTAGGACAGTTCATCAGGTTTGCTGAGAGATCAAAGCTCAGCCATGAAATCTCCCTCCAGCCCAGTGAATTGACATTCTCTAATTGGTGCTAATGATGCCAGCTGGTTAATTATCTGAGCTCACAAATCACCTGTCTAAACACAACTGGTTGTGAGCAGAGAAATTTTACTGAGGGGTCTTTCAAGATGTGGCCCAAGACGTGATATGTATGATATTTACTCATGCAGTGTGCACATTTGAGTTGCCATGTTCCTCATAAGTACCTATATTATTTCCTTCCACTTAATCTAGCTTTTTAACTACTGTTTATATATTAGTAACTCTTTAAACTCATGGAGTTATTTAGGGCATTTTGCTCATCTTTACCTGGGAAATCTGTGTTGCAGGGGTAGTCACAGGCACACTTTCAGTCCCTCCTGTGGGAATAAAGAACTTTAGTCAATTAAAATGACTTATAATGGTTGCTATAAATAACTGGAACAGAGGGTTTGAAGTCCCTCTTGAGGAACAAATCAGTTTTAAAGGACTCAAGTCTCACTTTAGGAGATCTGAATACCATATCGTTTGTAAAATAAACTGCAATTATAAACCAGGAATAACTCACCTAAATCAGACATTAAATTCACCTTATTTGCTGTCCTGTCTGGCCAAAGCGGATCCATGCAAAGAAGCGAGAAAGCCTGTATGTGCAATTAGGACTAAAGTGCTCCCTGTGAAGTTTAGTTCTGTGTACAAGCCTTAAGTAACAGGTTTTTTGTCCTAAAGCATTACCGATACGTTTCTCTTCTGAAATAGTAAATTTTATCCTCTACTATATTTGTACATATTTCTATTATCTCCACAAAAGGCTGACCTGATCTGTATCTTTTAAGCCCTAAGTTATATTTTGTCACAATACATTCCAAGCAGTAATCATGTCTCTTCTAACACCAAAAAAATACACCTTTTCATCAGTTTCATCATTCCTGGGGTTTTGTGGCATTGTGATCTCACCTGATCTTGTACAATGGACATAGACTTAACATTTCTGAAACAGACTTAGCTCATGGAGGAGATTATATCTGTTTTGCTGAAGTATTTTGGAGACTGCAGAGACATTATCTCTAGGCATTAAACATAGAATCATAGAATCATTTGAGTTGAAAGGGTCCTTTTAAAGGTCATCCAGTCCAACTATCTTGATTGAAACCAAAATGTCTGTTTATTATTTCCTCTTCTAATATTGTCTCTTCTGTGCAGAAGTCTTTGGTTGTCCAACAGAAATTACTGCTGGTTGTGCTGCCACTGCACTTTGAGGGAATTGCAGTCCAATGGCCGTCAGTTCCCATGTTATTCCCTACATCAGGGTCCTAGGCTGGCCCTCACTCCCAGAAAATACCATGCCACTTAGTTCCTGGCCTAGATCGCCTCTCCTTTGCAATGCCACTTCATGAGGTGGGTTTTCTCTTGCTTCCAAGAATTCGCTTCACCTGTCTCAGCTGTCAGTCACAGACATGACCATTAACCCCATGCCCATTATAGGGGAAGCCAAGCTCCCTCTTTCCGTGCTGGCTGCAGGTGCTCGGTGTCTTACCCACCTGGGCCTTTAAGACCACAGAAATTTAGTCCTGCAGAGGCTGGAAAAGTGTGCAGGGAGGACTCTACACAGTCAGCCAGAGGAAAGCTGGAGCCTGGAAGTCAGAGCTATACAAAGCATAGCTACATTCTGATTTCTTTACCCCTGAAGTGGAATATGGGTTACCACCAAGGGCACCTATGAATTGGCCCTGTTCTGGTCTCTAGAATTTGTCCTGATTCAGAGGAACTTGAGCAAATTCCCCAGTGACTTGCAGAAGGGAAAGGAAGAGACGCCATGTGCTCCTCTCTGTCCGTGTGCCACTTCCCGCCTGTGCAAGGGGCTCTCTTGGCTGTGGGGTTGGGTAGCTGGGTCAGACACTGACCCTCTGGGGAATATCCTCCCATGTTTCCTCTTGGGGAAACAAGGGGCAGGGGACTGACTGGCAGAAGTAACTATGACTCCAAACTGCCAACTGTTTGGGGTCAGAACTCATCAGCCAGCCTGCACCAAGTCCCACATTTCAAGTTTTAAATGACAGGTTGTTTTCATTTTCAGCTTTGGCCCTTCTGGGTCTTTTTTTACAGATTTTCTCCACAGCCCTGTGAACTAGAAACCAACTTTTGGCCTGAAGCTTTCTCATGATGCCTGGAGCTGAGGCTTGAGAAGGCAGTGGTGTGTACAGTGATCCTCCTCAATCATGAAAACTGGGGCCCATGCCTGTTCTGATGTATATGCTACTGCTGGGCTCTTACTGTGGAATGGTAAGGACTGACCCAAAAAGAGCAAGAGGACATGTCTCTGAATTAATAGTACAATACAAACCAGATGCTGGGAGGACAGGGAGATGCTGCTTTTACAAAATGGTGGGTGTATTGAATGCTGAGCTTTGTGAAGGGCTAGAGGTGGCAGGTAGAAGCATAACACAGCAAGGAAGAGCCTTGGTCTCTCCTCACGTTTTCTTTGGGCATCTTTCAATCTGATATATAACACAGAGGGCCAGACTCCTGCCGAAGTCTATAGGGATCTTTCATTTGGGTTTGGTTACGGATGAGTCTGTAATGTTCTTGGATATACTCAAAGCAAGGAACTGCTCCTGAGCAAGACCAGAAATGAGGAAAAGGTCACTCCTGCTGTGACTTTACCTCCCACCTTTGCCATGAGCACTCTCTGCATGTACCCAGTCAAATCCCAGATCATTTCTATAAAGTCACAGCTAAGAGCTGGAGCAGAGGAGGCTCCTCACAGTTGCACTGTGGGAAGCAAGGGGCTTTGGGGTTATCTCCCAATTTCTGCAGTAAACATCTGCCGCCCGTGAGGGCATACCAATTAATTGGAAAAAATCCCTGAGTTAATTTCCTTTTCAGCCTGCTGTAGTGTAGGGGCCTAGGTACACAGACCTAATTTAATCCAATTAGAACAATAATAATAGAGAAATTAACTTTTCCATTACCCATGCCATGAATATTGGCACCACCAAGCATCTTTGAAGAGGGAAAGAGATGGTCCAGTCTCTCTCCTGAGCTGACACTTGTGGGCACTCCTAAAGCTGCTCCCACTGCTCATAGTTTCAAGGGTTCCTCAGCATATGGACACAGTACCTCTGAGGTGGCAAGGCAGAGCACAGTGCAAAGGGTTTGGGGTGGAAAGCAAATACCACCAGCCCCACATTCTTCTGAAAGAAGTTGATAACCACTAAAACCCTGGATTTGAAACCCCTGAGCTTTGCAGACTTTCTAGAAGTGCTGCTGACTGTAGCAAGGACTGGTTGCATGAAAGCAATGTGGCCTGGACACATCTTGGTGCTTGCAGACTGGGACTGGTGGAGATGTCTGGGTTATGGCACTAACACAAACAAGAACACCTTGCTACAAAGCATGTGGGGAAGAGAAGCAGATCCTCATCACAATGCCCTCATGTATGACACAGCTTTGTACATCCCAAGGCAGAGTTGGGGTCCGAGGCAAGAAAAGGAATGACTTCCCACATTAGACATTACATATGCCACAGGATTATTTTCCAGAGGGAGTAGGGAGGTGGTTCTAAAATAAGAGATAAAAACTTAAACCCCCAGGTATTTCTATGAAACTAAAAGTACTGAACATTTGTGCACAGCTGCCATGGTTAAGAGGTGCTCTCGGGGGGCTGGATGGGGGCCAGCAGACAGGTCAGATGAGAGCACATTTCTTCCTCACTGTCTTTCAAACTATCAATAAGTGAAATAAGAGGGTGCTTTACCTTCGTGTTTGTTTGTGTCCATGGCTGCTATAGGGTGTGCGTCCTCGCAGGGACTCCTGTCCTCACTCTGGAGGGCTCTGGCTGGTCACTGGGAACATCCCATGGCTTAGAGCTGCCCACATATGAGCCCTGCAGTGGGTCAGCTGATCTGAACCCTGAGTGCAGAAAGATGCAAAAAGGGTTTATTGAGCAAAGATGCTCGAAGTTCAGAAAACAGAGGAAGGAGGAGGGATTTGAGAGGGAATGCAGCATCCTAAAGGTCTGTTTGGGTTCACAGTGCCTCCACAGACATAGTGGGTGCTGGTACAGACACTTCCCTCCCAGCCCAGGGCCACTTGTGCTTACATGCACAGGTGACTAAGAAGTACTATGTAATCCCACAGAGACTATTTGCTCAGCAAGATACTTCTTGTATGAACACTGAATCAAAATATGATGTAGTTTGAACAGCACATGACCAACTTGCATGAGTGCTCTGCATCAAAGAACCAACCTTTTCCTATGCAACTAATCACTCAAAATGTCTTTCAGACCTGTGTTTGGGTCACAGAGAATATTGCCTTCAGAATGCTTCTACACAGTTCTGCCAGCACTTTAGGAGGCACTTTAGGAGGCACTTATACTGCCATGCCTGCTTTCTCTGTTTGTTGTCTCTCTGACTTGGAGACATAGGAGCGCTGTAAGGCACCCCAAAGTGTAGAGATGTAGCCTCTCCAGGAACCAGGGACAACAGAGCATGATGCCATGCCCAAGCCAGTCCCTTGGCAAAGCGTCTCATCAGTCTGGTATTGGGGTTAGGACGTTGAGAACAGTCTTAAGATAATGCCTGCTTAATGACATGGACAGAGACACAGAAAAATGGATTGCACCAGCTCTTATCAGCATGGGCTCTGCCCCACATCCACACTTCCCCTCCCCAGGATTTAATTCAAGTGTACTTCTGTCCAACCTTACTAATAAACTAGATTTAGGACTCTAGAATAACCTCCTACCTCCATTCCTGTTGGACATGGATATGCTGGAGGCTGATGTGAGTCATCATTAGCTTTGCTAATGGGACTGGAGTGGCCGGTGTAATTATGGCACAGAGCTCTGCTGACTCAGCTCTGCCAAGAGGACTGTGGTGATTCAGAGAAATCTGGGATGATGTTTTCAGGGAAGTAGGCACAGAGAAAGGCACATAGCATTACATAGATGGGAGACGTGCAAAATATGCAAGAAGCCTAGGTGGCTATAGGGAATCAGGGCAGAAGCAGTTGCTTCTGGAGCAGTCAGCAGTGTAGCTTGGGGGGTCTCACACTTTCAACCTGAGAGCTTTTGAGTGTGGAATTCCCAGGGGAGGAACATGGTGACAGTGCCCATCCAACCTCTTGCTGAGGGTATGATGTGGACTGAAAGGCTTCCAGCCCACTGCTGGAGGGAATTGGGGTTGAGCATCTTCTTAAGATTGAGGTTTAATGAAAGGATAAATTTATTTGTAAGAGAGCTGCTTATGATATCACTTGCTAAGAAGATCCGCTGACATATCAGGACAGAGGATCTTTTGGTGAGGCGGGTGGAAAAACTGAGCAAAGGTGGAGGGACCTTTGATGTGGGCTAACCCCAAAGCTAGACCAGGCTGCTCAGGGCCACATCTAGTCAAGATCTGAGTATGTCCCAGGATAGAGGATTCTCAGGCTTTCTGGGCCTTTCCCAGGGCTGCACTGCTCCCATGAGGAAGACTTTTTCTCTTACGGCCAATCAAGCTTTCCCTTGTTGGAGCTTGTGCCCCTGGCCATTTATCCTTTCTTTCATTGTGTCAGTGAGAAGAGCCTGCTGACTGGACTCCCACCCCTGTTAAGTAGTTGCAGGTGGCTGTAGAACTCCTACAGCCTTCCCTTCCCCAAGCTGGACAAACACAATTCACTCAGCCTCTCTATGCTCCTGTGCTCCAGCCCTCTTCAGCAGAAAAAGTTATTTCTTTTTCTGATAGGTATTGCAGAGAATGGCAAGAATGTTATTTGCTTCCAAAACACATAAAAATGGAGTTGTTTTTGAAGTAGTTAAACCTCCTCTCTCATAGTTTTGTTAAGTTTGTGTCTCTCAGTGAAACAGACCTTTAAATTCAACTTCAGTAGCAGCTTGTTGAGTAGCAAAGTTGTTAAAACTTTGCTCCCAATTTAAACTAGTCAGTGCCATGAGGCTGAGGCTCTTGTTATTAGGCTGTTGAACTGGGACTAGTGTGTTTAACAGAGAACTGGTTTCAAAATTCAGAATTGTTTTTGCAGTGTTGGGAGAAAAGGAACAAAAGGAAAGACAAAACAGATATGAAAGAAACATGAACTTCCTCCATTTTCACTGAAAACAATGAAAACAGCTTTTGCTGGAAATTCATTAATTTTTTTCTCTTCAGCACATTTTTACCCATTCTGCTATTAATATTTTACCATGCCAGTTATAGCAATATAACAGTATATAATTGTTAACTATTCATAATTAGTAATAACAATAATAATAAGCAAACATCAATTAGTATGAAATTAGTTGTATTAATATACCATGAAATACACTAACTGCACAGCCTGTCTTAAAAATTTTATAATTTTATTACCCACTTGCTGAATTATTATGGGGATCACTTCCAGTGACAATGTGACATTTATACCTCTGGCCTTCACAAGTCAGGATGACCATACCCCGCCAGACCCAAGAACACTGATAGTGGGGGCATGCAAAAATGAGAGCATCTCATCTGTACTGCTGCACAGCCTTAAATGGGGGAGTCAAGGGACTGTAATGCATGAGCAAACAGCGTATGAACAGGTTGCAATGGCAGGCATCCAGAAGTAAAGGCATCCAAAAGGCAGAATTAAAGCATAATTCTGTTGCACCAAGTGCTCTCTACTTCCACTCTTAGACCAGCTCCCTTAAGATACATGTGTCTCTGTCCCACTGTGGCCCAGCACATCACCAGGCCTATGGCATCAGTCTCACAGGTGGTGATTGAGAGTGAAGGATGCATCTGTGGCACCCTCCCTAACACAAGGATACCTGCAGTTGTCATGGGAGGTGATGCACCTGAGAGGAGAAGCTCACGGGAGGGCATTCACCCCTCTGCTATGCTACAGATAATGACATGAAATGTCTTGGGTCCAGTATAAAGGAAGAGGTTTGTCTGATATGAAAAAACCTACATGAGATTTAAATAAGAGAGAAGTAATACTTGTAGAAGAATTTTCATATGAGTATGTGTCATTGCCTAATTACTTATGTTCTGTTCTCATACACTTTCAACTCAGGGCCACAGAGGGCTGGTGTAGCCCTTTGGCATTGATCTTGTCTCTCAGGTTGTTAAAATTCTGTGGGTTCCTGGTATCAGAAGTAAGTTTTTCCTTATAGAGGGAACTCAAAACAATACCTGTACAGCATGAAGGTTTAACTCAGGAGCTTCCCCATTACACTTGTACAGACGAGGACAATGTTTAAGCACAGTCTGTGTCCTCTGTGGAGCTCAGGAGTGAGGCTTTGAAACTGGGACACCGGGGATGCCACCATCCCCTCCTGCTCCAGGCATACCAGGAGCTCTGCTATATGACTGCACTGCAAAGTAGGTTGACCTTGGTTAAGTGGGTCCAGAAAATCTTACCTGTTTTACCAGAGTAACTGTCTTTGTGTGTCCTCTACGTGCAGCCTGCAATTTCCAGAATCACCCCTTAGTTCTTTGTTACATTAAATAATGGCATTACATTGTCTATTTTCCAGCATTTAGGGCTCACTGCTGGACTCTGTGAATATGTACATATTGCCTCTTTCTGCCTGGTTCTTCTGAACTGCTTAATATAAAGAGCAAAAATAATCAGTCCTTCCTCATCACTAACACAAACAAGACATGAACCTCTCCATGGTTTGAAGTGAATGCTTGTCCTCTGTTCCCCCTGACTGCTGGGTGGGGAAGCTGTTAACACTGTCCTCACCACTGACCAGGGTTCTGGTCAGCCTGAGCTGGCTGAACAGTGTCTGGCTTGTGCCTAAAAGGTGCAAAAAGGGGTTGAAAAATCGGGTTGACATTTTGGCCCTAAGACCCTGGATGTGGGCTGCTTGGTCAAATCCTGCCTCTGCTGGCACTGGATAAGTCCTAAGCTCACAGCAGAGTCCAGGTGAGCCTTGCATGGCTCTAGTTCAACTTCCTGCTCGAATCAAGACTAATGTCAAACTAGATCAGGTTCCTCAGGACTCTGTCCAGCTGGATATTTCTTCAGCTGGAGTCTTCACAGTCACTCTAGGCCTTCCAGTACCCTGAGGAAGAATACTTTTCTTTACATCCAGTTGGGGTTTCCCTTAGCTGTAGCTTGTGCCCATTGCCTTTCACTGTGCACCTCTGGGAGGATTCTGGACTCCATCTGCTTTACAGCCCCCTTGAGGCAGTTAAAATCTGGAGAGGATTTCCCCCTCCATCTTTTTGTCTCAGTACTAAGCAAGTCCCACACCATTAATCCCTTCCTATATGCACATACATGAATGCATGTGCACATCAGCAGCAAGTACAAGCCCTCCATGAAGCTGCTTTCCTAAACCACTACCAGACCTCCACTCATGGCAAATCCAAAGTTTGCCTGATATGCCAGCCCACCACAAGGGTAGTTCCCTCATCAACAAGATGTTATTGTTCCTCTGCAAGCTTCCCGCTGGACAGGCGCAACACCCAGTCACATGAAGCCATCAGCAGATTGTCTTGGCCTACAATTCAAGCCCATGGTCCCCTGCTTTAGGGACAAGAAATGGCAAAGACGTGGTTATTTCTTCAGAGTTGAGCATTAAAACTCATTTACATTCTTGCAGCTTCTATCAAGCCAGAATAACATCTTCGGAGCAAAGCCCAGAGAATAATTTCAAGATGTTAAAGCCACCACATTCCTCCATCATGGCAAAAGGATGTATTTCCCCCTTTTGTTTTTATCTTCCCTCCAGCAACCAAATCTGCTGAGCCTAAGAACCAAAGCTGAGTGCCACCTCTGCTGTTGGTGATTGCCATGCTGGCCACTGGTGACCAGCAAAGAACCCTGCACTGGTGCCTTGCACAGGCAGCTGGTGCTGCAGCCCCTCCCGCCAAGCAGAGCAGGCAACCAGTGAGCACTAACAGAGCCTGAGCCAGCACCCACTTCCCATGAGATCCCACACGGAGAAGGTGTGGATGGAGGGATGGGGAGGTCCCAGTGAGTTGCCTTCTTTAGTTATTCCCCAGGCACGGGGTTAAAGGCTGGAGCGACAAGGCTGGAGCGATGTGCTGCTGAGGTAACACAGAGGTGGGTTTTTTGCACAAAGCTGTTTGTGGTGGAGAGAGGGGAGGCAGGTCCTGCAGCCTGCACTGCATTTATGTGACTATGCTCACCCTTCCAGTGCTCCCCCCACATGAAAACAATCAGCTGTGCAGAGGATCACGTATTAAAAAGACGGACAGACAACACCGAACATCAGCATGCAAGCAGGCAAAGTTCAGTAAAGCATTTACAGCCTAGCCTTGGTGGACAACAGCTACTATTTGGTTTTCTGAGCCATTCTGCTTCTTATGAAATCGTGACATGGGCAACAGTGCAGGGAAATCCATATGCACTTTTGCTACTTCAGTTGTTAAGCATCCACTGTTTCCCTAAATAAATGTTTGGGATCTTCCTGGTGACTGTCTCTGTCCTGCTGGCTGAAATTGCTGCTGTTTTAAATATCCCACTTGGAAAGCAACCCCCCGTCCTCTAAAGAGAACAAAAAAAACCCATTATTTCCTCTCATCACTCTTGCATTTTGTCTCCAGCTAACTCTAATGTGGTTGTCATTCAAATACTTCAATTCAGCACGATACTTCAATTTAACTCTTAGACGGTGAGAGCAGAAAAAAGGTCTTTTTAACTGACATTTTAGAGACCTCACTATAAATGCAGCCTCACAAAATTGTCCTGCACACTAAGGAGCTCCATCTCCACACAGAGTTTTAGAAGAAATCAGCTGAAAATAACTGTAGGCATTGAAGATGCAAAGTACTTTAAATACTTCAAGTCCTTTATGTGCTGCACACACGATAGCAAATAGTTACAACTCTCGCTTTTTCCAGTAATATGAAAAATGGTATAATTAATCCCACTCTTCATCCCATTCCGAGTACATTTTAAACTTACCCCAGGCTAGCTGAAGATCCTTCAGCTCCGGCGGTTGCTAGAGTTGGGAATTAGCACTGTGCAAGACAGGAGAGAGTAGAGCAATGGTGGCTCCCAGGATGGGACTGTCACATGCTAATCACTGATTTGAAACGCTAGCATAACAAATGCCTTCTAATTATATAATCTTCAGGTCACATCCTCGCATGCCCATGCAAAAATCAGGACTGTGCACTTGGAAGAAGATGATACAGACTTTCTTCCTTTTTAATTAGAATTGCACACTGCTGCTGAGGGAGAGTGAGAAGCCCTGTGAAGTGACGGCAGAGGGGGCCATGTGGTGAGAGCCAGGTGCTGATGTGGTCTGTGCTACTTTGCCAAGCTCGGAGGATCTTAAGTACCTCCTGTAGCACCCAAACAAGACAACTTCCCTTTGACGGGGACAGGGAAATGGGACCAGCTCCTCCCTACTTTCTCTGACACCGTCTCTTACCAGGCATGGCCTCGCTAGGGATGCCAGGGCCAAGAGGGCTCAGGGGCCAAGAGCAAGATTGCCAAAGTAGACAGGGCAGGGGAGCAGGAATCACCAGCACTTGAGTATTTTCTGTTTCTTGTTAGATCATGACAAATTTTCTTTGAGTAAAAACAAATAAGGTCTTGGAGGGTGGGGAGCAACAGCCCTCCACACCTGCTCTATTTCTTCACTTAGGAGGATCAGACCTTTACTGGAGGGCTTTTTGCTCCAAAGAGCATCAAGAAAGCATGTGGAGAATGCAAGTAATCCAAGGCCAGGTGTCAGGGAAATGTGTCAAGGAAATGTTTGAACCAGTCCCGTGAGCTGCTCCGAAGGGTAAGAACACGGAGACATAAAGGAGGAGGCACAGTAACAAAGGGCAAAGTAATTTCTCCCTGAAAGACAAAGATCTACTTCAAATATACCCTTCAGGCAGAAAATCTGAAATGTAAAACTGCACAGACTAAATCAGTATAATTGCTGTGCAGCACAGATAAATGTGGAGCCTTAGCAAATGAGCTGAAAGGACAAGCTCCTAAATTAACAGAAGCTCTGTGGAAGATGCTGCTACCTCTGAAGTCAAGGACTAGGGACAGAGGACACAGTGTTTCTTTTTTTGGAGCTGGCTATTTCAGAAGCAAAACACAACAAAATTGAACAAAATAATATTATAATTCTGAAGGAGTTTGCCAGAAAGTGCATTTTTGTTGGGTCAAAGATACCCATGAATTCAACAAACAGTTCAAGCTAGGAAGGGTTTGTTTTTTAATAAATAAGAACATGTACATGAATCTATGAACAAAACATTTCAAATATGGATTTTCTTACAGGCATTTTAAGAAGGGCTGTAAGACATTATATTGCCAAGTGATCCATGAGATGCTTTGTTTCAGATGGCCCAGTATGTCTGTTTGCTGATAATGTGCTGGTTTTTCATTTTGCTAATAAACCACAGGGCCCAAGATATTTCTGAATCCTAGCAAAATTAGCTGTGTATTTAAAGGCACATCTGAAGGAACAGCACTTGTACATTGTGTCTTCAAATGGAGGCAAGGAGTGGTATTTACTAAAACTCAATTAAATATCTGGCAAGCAAAGACTCAACGCATTTTTTCCTGACAGCACTGGCATGTTGTGTTTTGTTTTGTTTTGTTTTTAACTAGAAAGCAGCTTTTCTCTTTTATAAAGCAAAGTACTTAGATTCATAGTGTAGAGACATTGATGACCAAATGCAAACAAAAACACAAATAGATTTTTCTACTTAGATTGCTTAAGACTTTCCAATAGAAAATTCTAGTCACCAACTGCTGCACTTATGAATTCACCCTACTCAACTTCATTTCTTTAAAGACTTAAGAGACTTCAGCTGATCAGTCTGAAAAGAAAAGTTTTATCTGCTATTAGCGTGCATGCTCAGAGGTCATTTTTAATTAAGACATGAAGAATTCAATGTCTGTTGAAAACTGGTCACAGCTGTTGAGCCCAGAGAGTTGCCTTGCTGCTGTCTGTACCAAACAGCTGCATTTTCAACTTCTGCTTCAGTCCCACTGCTGCAGAGCCATGAAGTGTGCCACTCCACTCCATTTTCATCTTAAAATTCTCCTTCACCTTCCACACTGTATTGACAGAAATCCAGCCTCTTGAGAATGCAGTCTCTTGCTCTGGCAGCTGATGTGTCCAGGAATCAGAAGCTTCCCAGTGTAGTGTAAGTACCTGCCTTAACTTTCTCCAACATTGTAGCCTGTAAAAGTTTTGACCTACAAAGCATGCTGGTTATTCATCCAAGGAACATATTCCCTTCTTTGCAAAACTGGATATATATTAATGTCTTCTCAGCATGCATCCTCTGCAGGAAAAAACAGTCATGATTTGAAGTTAACAGGGATTAAGTCCTATTAAATTTATCCTGACTTTGATGTATGGCTGACGTATGCAGCCAGTTACTGTATGATCTTCCTGTAAAAATCCATCCTTTCATGCTTTTCCCATCCTGCTATGCACTGTTTTGGTAAGGTGCAAGGATTTACAACCTCCTATGGGAAAAAGGTAACTGCCATGTGATGTCAGTCCTCACAAACCACATATTTCTGCTGATCTTTGGAAGCTGTGATCAAGCTCATCATTATACCTGGAAAACTGGTATAAAGCAGAATTGTCTATGCATCATCATCCCTTGCAAATGAGGGGAAAATAACTTTTAAAATCAATTACTGGAGACTTGTTTGCCTTAAAAAATGAAGGCATCTGGCAGTTGCAACAAGTTGCTGTGGTTCTCTCATGAAAGCTACAGTGAACTGGTGAACTGCTACCTATCTTGTGTAAGTGGAAAGTAGCAATCCTGAAACTTGGCAAAATAGTTTGCAATAGTTTGGGCTGTCAGGGACTCGTGTTTGTGACACGTATTAACAGTCACAAACCAGTGTGAAAAGGAGAAGTTTTCATTCCCTGGTGAAAACAGAAGGGGCTGGCAAAGATTGGATCTCTGTTACCAAGGCTGTGCCTACATCAGCATTTTAGTTACTTGACATCAGAAGTTCAAATCAGAACCAGATGGTTTTCTCTACAGATCAGCTACTAGTGACAAGCATTGTGCTGGCCTCTCACAGGAGACTACTGGTATCACCCTAAGATTTTTGAGAGAAAATGCCTGTGAAGCTCCATGTGTGATCTACTGCTGAAGTGATGAATACTCACAGATTTAACTTCACACAGAATCCATGTCTGTCATTTAATACATAAGGAAAAGACAGACACTCTGTAGCAGATTTTAACATGCCATTTTAATAGAGGTATAAATTAACTCAGTATGTTCTAAAGTATTGAAATAAATTTTTCCCCCAAACATTAGAGTTTGCCATACAAGTTTCTATTTTGTATCCAGGTACATTCTATAACACATATTTCATTTAGAGTTTGACAACTTAAAAATAGAATTGGTCATCATGCTAGTACTATTGTGACTATTATTTTTGGTCAGGAGGGTAAGATGGAGCTTTGTTGGGGGTTTTTTTGATGAAAGGCCAAATATTAACAAATACACATTTTAGATTTATTTCAGATACTGGACGGGGGGAAGTACTTAAAGAAAAATTAAACTTAAACCTAGCAAATTTGACAGGCAGACAATGCAAACAGCTTGAAACAACAGCTCTGAAAGACGTCTGAACTGTTCTATTTCTTTGAACTCTGCCTGAGCCCAGAGACCTGGTAACAAAAAGTGGGTGGGTGAAATAGCCAACTTGAAAACTTGTGACTGGAAATGAAATACATACTTTGGACTGATCTCATGAGATGGACACAACTGGGATAAGCAATCTCAAGTATCCAGTGCAAGTTTCACTGGTAGCAAAAGAAACCTACTCCCACGTGGGGTGAATTTTATTTGGACATTATAATTTATAAAATCAAAACTAATAGAAGAGTTTACACAACTCTTCCATTTCAAACATACTTGTTTTCATTGAACAGGCCAAGGTACTTTGCTCCATTTGGAAATTTGCAGGTTCCAGCCCTGTGAAACGTAAGAATTCCCCTTTGTAAACTGCTCCAGAATGATGTTCTAGCCTTCCAGTACCATTAATCTGCATTTGAGAGATGAAGAAAATGGTTAATATTTATGCTTACATTATTATTTCCTTTCATTATAATTTCCTTTCCCACTGCTGCCTTGGAGTTTGCTATCACACTCAGATATGATAAAGCAGGGGAAAGTGACTTTGACAGATATACCTGTTTCTGCTTTTACAAGGAATTTAGGTAAGAGCTTAGAAGTTTGGGGCTGGCCATAGTGTCCAATAAACCCCTCCTCTGCTGGTAGTCTCATGGGATCTTAACAATCTATGCAGCATGGAACTGCATATAACTCCTTTACCCTGACAGCCTGAGGGGTTAATTAAATTTTTCAGAATTTCTTTCTGTGGATCAAGGCAGAGCAAACCTTTCATTTGCCAGACTAGGCCACTAAGCCACGCCTGGGGATTTGAATCTGTGCTGTGAAGCACTTCTATGCCATAATCTTAATTCTCACTGTTGCGCCAATATTTTTGTAAGAGACTGAAAAAAGGCCAGACTAGATCCAGTAAAGTCACAGGCCACTATTTGTATCGTTTCAAGGACTGTTTCCTCTACAGTGTCAACAAAATAAGCAATTTTCCTATTCTTCCTCAGTAATTCCTGGGGAACTGAGAACCAAGGGCAGCCACACAACAGTGTAGCTGTTGATGACTACAGCTCCCATTTCCTCGTGGGATATATGTGTGGTGTATGTACACATGCAGGAGAGCCCACTCTGTGTGCACAGCCCATTCAGGCAGGGCTTTCACAGTGGGTGTATGTGTTGGGCACCACCAACACCACACTGCCCAGATGTTTCATTGGAACCTGCCTCTCAGCAATGACTGGTGTGTCTGCAGGAGCCTCGGGAGGCTGGAGGACACCTGAAGGCTCCAGATGTGTCAAATCTTCAGACTGGGCTGTGACAAGATGTCCAGGTGGAAAAAGAGCCTGCAGCATTCATCTGATCCTTTTTGGGTTATGACTTCCCTTTCTGTGTCTTTTTAAGGGTGGATATACTGATATTCCAAACACAGAGGAACTTTAAAATGAAGGAATACTTAAAACTACTTTGTCGTTTTTCCAGCTGCTGACACACATAGTTGCACTGGCCCCATTGTGAGGCACTGAGGACACACTCAGGTGTCCTTTTGCAGTTCCCCTCTAGAAAACAAGAGCGATGGAAGACAAGTATTTTCACTTCAAGACAGAGAGCATCTGAGAGGCAAAAACCCAGGAGATCATGCAATGCATTTCTTCTGTTGCACAGAGCTGTTTCTCAGACCTG